CTCCATTCCTCCCTCATCTCCCTGTTTCCCTTACCCTGCTGTACCCTGTCACCTCAGTATTCCCTTCTACTTTAATATCTCATGCACTCTGTTGTCTTCCCCATGTCCCACCCTTAAAATATCTTGCCTTTCCCATCTTGTGACACCCTTTCTAGTTCCTCGGTCTCTACCTATGTTTACTCTCTTGCAGGCACACATATTTAATGATTAGAAGCTAAGAGTCACATATGAGAGAACACATGGCATTTGTCTTTCTGAACCTTCACCTTGCTTAATATAATGTTTTTAGTTCCACCAATTTTCCTGTAAATTTCTTTTTTAAAATAGGTTTTTATTTATTTCAATTGAGTGCATATGAGTGTTTTGCCTCCGTGTATTTAAGTGTACCACATATGATCCTGGTGCGTGCAGAGGCCTGAAGAGGGCTTAAGATCCCCTGGAACTAGAGTTACAGACACTTGTGAACTGCCAAGTGGGAGCTGGGAACCAAATGCAAGTCCTCTACAAGTGCTTTTAGCTATTGAGCAAAGTCCCCAGCTCCCACAATTTCACTTTTAGTTGCTATGTGAATAAAATCCTATTGTGTATATGTACCATATTGTCATATCCCATGCTCTGTTGATGGACATTTCCTTGCTCTTGAAAAGAGCAGCAATAAACATGGGTGTGCTGTGGTATAGTTGAGTATCTCTGTGGTATAGTTGAGTCATACAGTAATTCTAGTTTCCTTTTTTTTGAGGCACTTCTACAGGCATTTCCATAATGGCTGCACCTGTTTCCTTTCCCTCTCACCATAACTTTTTCTTTCCCCATATCCTCACCAGTATTTGTTGTTTTCTCGATGCTGGCCATTCTGCCTAGGGTGAGATGGAATCTCAAGGCAATTTTACTTTATATTTTTCTGATGGATGGAATATAATTTCTATACATCAACAGCTTTCTATTGGTGAGGATTTTTGCTTTGTGATCACTGTATTCAGCAGGAGGAATTTGTGTCTTCCATAAGGTTTATGAATATGATTTTATGTTGCACATGTCAACTTACAACAGAGCATCTATTTGAAAGTGTGCACCTACCAAGAAGACACAGAGGAAAAGGATACTCTCTGAACTTGCTGATGCTGAGAAAACTGAATTCCCGCTCTACCTTCCTATACAATGCACAAAATTAATTTTTAAAAAGGTGAAAAACCCAGGTGTACAACCTAAACCATGAAAGTAAGGGAGACTCTCACTGATACCAACTTTCGTAAGTTTTTTCTTTTTCCTTTTTTTTTTTTTTTTTTTTTTTTGATGAGTCTGGCGATTCTAAGGACAAGTCTAAGAGAATTAAAATTGACTGTATCTTATATGCCTATCTTTGACTTAAAACTGTAAAAAGATC